ACTTAACAATAGACCAGTCTTAAAGTGGGAATGTTTGATATTCTCTCCAGTAAAAATAAGTTCTTGAATGATAAATTTGTGGAGAAACTAATGTTCCCTTCATTAGCTTTTTTTAAAGAAAAATATATACAAAGGCCACTGGTAGTTTATGAGTAAATTATTGGTAAATTCATTCAGTTTGGAGCTTTATAGAGTCAAATTCATGGAAGCTTGCTTTCTAACAGACTCCCTTGTGGGTATTCTAGCTACCTAAGAATAACTTTTCCCCTCTTTTTAAAATGCTTTCTTCATTATCAAAATGATGGCCTTTATTTAGTCTCTGCTCTATTTCTAGGCCTGGATCCCTTCACCAGCCTACATTTTATTGTTATCATTTCATTAGAATTCTGTTCTTTGATTGAAAATGCACAGAAATTTGCACCTTTTGTCAAGTGAATTGAGGATAATAAATTTTTATGTCCTACTCTAGTGTTGAAAGGGAAATGTTTTATGTGGGTAAAAAGACTACTTGTTTTAAATCAATCTTCCCCAATCTGGTACCTTCCAAGCAGGTATCTGGGAGACTATAAACCCCATGAAATCCAGCTAGCCTGACATAGGCCATGCTTTCTGGAAATGATGGAAGTTGTATTCCAGCACACCTAAAGGGCACCAGGTTGAGGAAGAGATGTATAATTTATCACGTTAATTTTAAAATAACTGCCATTTAATTGTTTTCTTCTTTCTGTGTCCCTTTTCTTTCTTTTTATGCTTAATCCATTTATGGTTATGAACCCAGTGATAGGAAAATACAGTCAACTTCCAGACTCAGGTACAGTTTTCAGACTACCTTTTTAGACATGATTTTGGTTCATCTGTTTGTTTTTAATAAGCCAAATTGTGTTGACATTGCTTCCTTTTCACCATGTTAATACTTGACATCAGACTAAGCATCTCACATTCAAATTCTTCTCCTTTCTTTCCCACAATAACTGCAGCTTGAAAAGTTTATTATTTTTTATTACTACTTCCCCAGTCTCCCCAATCATTGTAGCTAATAGCCATGCTGATCCAGGGTGGTGGGTGGTGGTCAGTAGTTGTAATCCTAAAAAGGTTATTTTACAAGGCTCTAGTCATAACCATTTCTCAAAGGGCTTTTTTTTTTTTACTTTTATTCATAGAAATGAATGGCCACTGTTCACTTAATGTGGAAAAAAGTAAAGAGATACATTTAAAAATGCCACTAGTATGAGACTAAGGCCTTGCCTGCAAGGACTAAAAGTCCCAGGATTCTGTAAGATAAGTCATGGCAGTTAAAGTGGTGTCAAACTGCTTTAATTCTGCAATGTGGCTACACCCTGATGTCACCACTGTGGATTCTGATTTTATTTAATAGTCAACAGAGCTACTCTCTTGAATTTTTTTTGGGGGGGGGGGATATTTTCACTGATACCTCCCTTTGGTGCACACTGCATTCAGTTTAGCACATCATCCAGTGCTACCTGATGTGGTGCTGTAAAAACACAAGATGTAGTTAGGCTGTACAATAAACCTAACAGGTGGTTTGGCTTCTATTCCTTTCTCTACCGTCTGTTTTTCACTACCATGAAAAAAGTCAGTTTGAGTCTGTTTTATAGATAATTATTAGTAGACTAGAGATGAACAGTCCTTTCCATGTGTCTTAACAGGTATGAGTGAGACCGTAAAGGAGAAGTTCTCCACTGCATTTTCCATTGTGGGTATGTTTTCATCACACGCAGTTGGAAGTCTCAGCGTTTTCTTCTGTGCAGAAATCACACCAACAGTGATAAGGTATGGCAACATAAAGATTGCTCTGGGAGCAAAGCTGTTCTGACATCCCTAAATATTACTATCAAAATACAGTCCACTTGTAGCTTAAAACTCTGATGAGCAACTATTTTTAGGATGAATACTTTGAGAAAAACTGGTTGTTACGTTAAGTCTGTGATTGATACCAATGGTAGCTTTTTCCTGGGATGGGAGATTTGTGTGGTGAGGGGTTTGGAGACTGGCAGCGGGTTGGACTGGATGGCCCTTGTGGTCTCTTCCAACTCTATGATTCTATGATTCTGTGACTGCAACTTACATTGGAAAGCTTTATTCCTTCCCTGCCCCAGTGTGCCATGGTCCTGATTCTGACTAGGCCCTTCCCCTTCCACAGTGGTTATTTTAAAAAAACAAAATGTAGTCATGGGTTTATTGCATGCTCTAGTTGGGCTCTGTGAGGAGGAGGGAAAGGATGGTAAGACACCCAGACTCTTCCTCTCTCCAAGAGTTCCAATGTCACAAGCTCCACATGCTTCCCTGATTCTTATTTTCAGTAACTTGCACAAGACTTATCTCACAGGTGAATGCTACTAGACTGGCTTACAGTTGACTAACTGTGTGGAAGTTGTGAGCTGTGGGCATCATTGTGCTTGTTTTGTGTGATGGTGAATGTTACATTACATATCCAAAAATTGCTAGGGTGCCAAAATATTTGGACAAACAGGAAGGTATTTAATTTGGCTCTTAAAAGAATATGAAGTTGGTGTAATGCTTCTCTTCCTTCAAGAGGGTGTTCCAAATGTTTAAGTTTCAAATCTTACTAGTGTTGGTCATGACTATACCAATGGGGCTCTGTCATCTTAGCTATGTCTGATAATGCCACCCCCAAAGTCCTACTTTTTCAGCCTAGTAGTGTCCCTGTCTCACCAGTTTTATGCGATATTTAGCCTTCTCTGACAGAGAACTCTGGCACCACAGCAAACTGCATTGAGTGTTACCAAACTGCATTATTTCTTCAGTGCAAATTAGACCAGATTCTGGTTGCAAACAGATTGAACCAACAAGAATACTTGTGTTCTCAAACCCCCATCTATGTAAGCTAATAGAGTGCAAGCTCTTTGATATAACATAATTTGCTAAGCTTTTTAGTATGCTGATCTCTTCCCTTAGTTCATTTCCTCCAGTCCCAGGCTGCCAAGAGCTTAGGCATAATTGAAGAATTCTGGTTCCTTATGCCAAGGAGTTAATTATAAAGCTGCTTTGAACACTTTAACAAAATGAAACTCCAAATCCTTCTACAGTAAACTAGTTGATGGAGCAAGTGTATTTGTGTTTTGTGTATGTGTGTGTGTGTGTGTTATGTGTTTGCTATTACAAAACAACAAATGGGCTTTTTTGGGGTAGAACAATTTATTATGGGAGAAGGAAAGAAAGAACAGAGTGGGGGTGCATTCACAGACTGGCTAACAAATTAGCATCATTCATTTCTTACCATTTGGGGCACCTTCTCTCCCATTGCCCACATAGTAAAAGATTAGCAGCAGTGAACAAAAGGTATCCTGTCTACTCCAGGGGCCCCTAGCTCATGTTTCTGGGAAACAAAAACTCTTGAGTTTATTTAAACCTCTGATTTGTTATGTGTGCAAGAGGGTCAACAGGAAATATCAAAACAAGCTGAAAGAATCAGTAGCCCATGCAGCAACAAATACTTTGGATTCACCTTTTTGACCACAAGATAAATGCTCAGGTTAACAACAAAGATTTATTTATCTCTGATGAATGAACAAGATAGCTTGGATGGAAATTAAATCAGGAGAGGGCTAAACTGAGACTGTCATACTTTGGGTGTATCGTGAGAAGCCATGACTCACTTGAAAAGACAATAATGCTGGTTAAGATTGAAGGCAGTAGAAGAGTAAAACTGCATTACAGATGGGTAGATTCAGTCAAGGAAGCTACAGCCCTGAGTCTGCAAGACCTGAGCAGGGTGTTGATAGGGTGACTTGGAGGTCTCTCATAAGTTGAATTCAACATGATGGCAGTTAACAACAAATTATTATTATCCTATAATACAATAATTATACTACCATAATATTACCATGTAACATTATTTTATCATTATAGTATTGACATATTACTGTAGTAGTATATTGGAGCATTCAGGGCATTCCACATTCTTTATCTTGGTGCAATCCCTGTAACAGTCCTGCAAAGGAGATCAGTATTCATCATTCTAGTGTCACAGATTAAGAGTGGATTGGAACCTGATGCTGATGGGTTCTATAAGGCCATCTAATTGGTGACTTAATAATTAGTCTGTAGCAATAATTTGTAGGTTATTTATTTATCGTTTCTCAGCCCTTCAGGGCTCCGGAGATTATATATAACAGATAACAGATAAATAGATAACAGATAAAGGCAAATAAAATATAATTTTCAAACAAACCAAAACCATTTTAAAAGCTAGACTTCAAAACTGTACCAAAACCCATACCAAACAGTGCCGTTTTTGGTGCTCATTGGAAGCTCCAAAGGAATGGCCATGGTTGGAAGGGAATTCCACATATGAGGTGCTACTACAGAGAAAGCCTTGTTTCAGGTACTCACCAAACTGGGCTCTCGGGGTGAAGGGATATGCTGAACTCGGATTCCAGGCAGAGTCATGTGGAAGTAAGTGGTCCTTTAAATATCCTGGTCCTAAGCCATTAGGACTTTGTAGGTCAAAACAAGCACCTTGAAATGAGCTCAGAAGAAAAATGCAAGCCAGTAGAGTTAGTGCAAGACTAGCAATTAACCACTATGCTTTTGCCAGCTCTTAAATGAATGCTAGAGATATTTTAAACACTTACATTTATTGCTCAAACCAGAGGTTTCCAAAATTTTGGGTGACAGGCATCATCTCAGAACAGGTGTTTATTTACCCTGATCCGTGCCTTCTCATGCAGGCTGCATCTTTTTAAAAACATGGTCTGCAGCAACAGGAACATCCATAGCCATCAACTGAAGCAAGGCATGCTTTTCATAAAGTACTGTTTTCATGTATCTGCCAACCTATGGAGCTTGAATCACATACTATATTACCTTGTTGTTATGTACCTTCAAGTCATTTACAACCTAGGGTGACCCCAAGATGAACTTAACAGGGGATTTTCTTGGCAAGTTTCTTCAGACAGGGTTTGCCATTGCCCTCTTTTGAGATTTAGATAGTGTGACCTGCCCAAGTGAGTTTACATAGCCAAGCCAGGATTTGAACCCCAGTCCCCAGAATCATGGTCCAATGCTCAAACCACTGTGCCACATTGGCTCTCCTACTATATTATATAGATGATATATTTATTAAATTTCTTAAATTCAGTGACCACCCTGCTGTCAAAAGGCCTGCCTCGGGTTTCTTATGAGAAGAAAAACAGCAGGATGACACAAAGGGCATATGATGGTTAGAAATTGTGGTTTCAGGTGTGTTTTTTCCAACCTTAATATTTTAAAATGGTTTTGTATCCTTTGTTGCTCATTAAATAAGTGTGAGGAAAGCCTGCTCCCTAGTGATGACACTAAGAATTTCACATATCAGCATTTCTAAGCTATCGAGATAGAGAGCAAAGAATTATTAATGAAAGAGATAAGTAGACCGCCATTGTTATTGTTGTTGTTGTTGCTGCTGCTACTACTACTACTACTACTACTACTATTACTACAGGTTGAATCTCCTTAATCTGGAATTTCAAAATCCAAAATACTCCAAAATTGTTCACATGGATGGCTGAGATAGTGATATCTTTGCTTGTTGATTGTTCATTGTACACAAACTTTGTTTTATCCACAAAATGATTAAAAATATTGTGTATAAAATTACCTTCAGGCTATCTGTGTACGGTGTATATGAAACATAAATGATTTTCATGTTTAGACTTGAGTCCCATCTCCAAGATACCTCATTATGTATATGCAAATATACCAAAATCTGAAAAAATCCGAAAAATTCTGGTCCCAAGCATTTTGGGTAAGGGAAACCCAACCTATATTATTATTATTATTATTATTATTATTATTATTATTATTATTATTATCATCATCATCATTATTATTATATCATTTTTACTACTTCAGTTAATAGCAACAGCACTTAATTGTAGTTGTTGCCTGAACAAGCTATTCTAGCATTCCCCTTTTCAATGACACGTAATTGTTAGACTTTTTTCAGTGAAAGTGCAGAGTCTAATCAAACAGAATAATCTTAAAATTTAATAATCTTAATTTGGGAGACTTTGTTTACTTCTGTAGATTATTAATATCTTGGTTTGTTATATGTGGGTTATATTGTCTCCTAATATACAGCATTTGAATTTTTACTGGTATTTTAGTATTTTATTTTATTTTCAATTGAGCATTAAACATGGTTCTCGTTTGGGCCTGTGCAATGAGACAAGTTATAAATCTGAATAAAATATTTGATGCTGAAACTTGGAAAAAGTCCTTTTCTAGAATATAGCCTCCAGAATTGACCAGAATTGGCCATCCCGTCTGAGAGTTGTGATCCAAAAGGCACAATGAGGCCATATGATCTAAATGATCTAAAATTCATTCCTTCTCATTTTTGTTTTTGTTTTTAATAAAGTACAGTGCCATTTTTATTCTGATGCACCAGTCATTGTTCCTGTTGTTTTTAGAGTCCCTGCTGTCTCCAGCAGAAGGAGGCTGCGGTTTGTAAAACCTGGATTGCAATAGCAATTGTAGTCTCTTTTGTGTAAATCCCCTCCTCATTTCAGGTAATCAAAAGTGGCATCTAAAGCAGTGTGGACTTGGGGCACTGCCCTCCCAAAGTCCCTGATTCTTGATCAGACTTGCATCCAAGGTATAATTATCACCTCTCTCCTCTTTTAGGGCTTTGTTTCTGTTCATTGCATCTGCAGAGGGGCAGGATACAAATTATTATTATTATTATTATTATTATTATTATTATTATTATTCCCCCACTTTTTCTCAAAATTGGGTCTCAAAGCGGCTTACAATCTAAAGCACAGTACAATTAAAAATTTACAAAAGTGACAATTAAAATGGAATTAAACTATTACAATATTAAAACAGATCACTTGTTTAAAAGTAGAATACAATTAAAATATAAAAGCACTTAAAACCCATACACTTTAAGACAGTACAACACCTGCAGGACATTCTCTTAAAACTTTCTGTTTTAAAACCCCTCTCTGAATAAAATGGTCTTAGCCTGCTGGCAGAAGGACAACAAAAAGGGGGCCATTCTGGTCTCCCTTTGAAGTGAGTTCCTGAGTCTAGGGACAACCACTGCAAAAGCCCTTTCTCATGTTCCCACCAACTGTACTTGTGATGGTGGTGGGACTGAGAGAAGGGCCTCTCCAAAGGATCTTAGAGCCCAGGCTGGTTCATACAGGGAGATACAGTCTGCCTGGACCTGAGTCATAATAGGGCTGGAAACAAACTGGCAGCCAGTGAAGCTGTTTCAGCAGAGACATTGTGTGGTCTCTGTAACCTGCCCCAGTTAACAGTCTGGTTGCAATTCTTTGGACCAGCTGAAGTTTCTGAACACTCTTCAAAAGCAGCCTCAAGTAAAGTGTGTTACTGTACAGTTACAATGGGATGTAACTAAAGCATGTACCACCGAGGCCAGATTCAGCATCTCAAGGAATGTGTGCAGTTGGCACACAAGTTTTAAATGTGCAAAAGCACTCCTGGTCACTACTGAGACCTGGACCTCCAGGTTCAGAGCTGAGTCCAGGAGTACCCCCAAACTGCGAACCTGTGTCTTCAGGGGGAGTGTAACCCCATCTAATACTGAATAATACTCCCTGATCTGCCTTCTAACTGACCAGGAGCACCTCTGTCTTGTCTGGATTGAGTTTCAATTTGTTTGCTCTCATCCAGTCCATTACTGATGGCAGACACTGGCTTAGGACCAGGGCAGCCTCCTTGGATTGAGCTGGAAAGGAGTAGTAGAGTTGGGTGTCATCTGCATATTGATGACACTGCACCCAAAAACTCCAGAAGACCTCTCCCAGGGATTTCATATATATGTTGAATAGCATAGGGAACAATACAGAACTGAGGGACTCCACAGGCCAATGGCTAGGGGTCCAGCAGGAGTCCCTTGGCATCTCTGGATTCTCCCCTCCAAGAAAGAATGGAGCCACTGTAAAACAGTACTTCCAAATCCTATACTAGCTTTTTGGCAATTTGGCACCATAGGAGGTTGATAGAATGTCCTGCCTCTGGTTTTTCTGCCTCCAAGAGCAGCAGTTCTCCTTTGTTTTGTCCTCCAAAAGCATTCTAGAAAAACCAGAAGTAGATTTACATCCACCTCCAGTTTTGGTTTGGGGAGGAGCTGTTGTGGCTCACAATAGGTCATGGGGGGGTGAAAATTGACCTTTGGGGCTCATCTGCCACTGCTATTTGGTGGGTAAGGTTGGTATACCTAGACCTAGGCTGCATCTGCACTGTAGAAGTAATGCAGTTTGACACCACTTTAACAGTCATGGCTCCATGCTATGAAATCCTGAGATTTGTTATTTGTTGTGGCCCCAGAGCTTTTGGCAGAGAAGGTTAATAGCTCACAAAACTAAAAATCCCAGAATTACATAGCATTGAGTCATAGCAGTTAAGGTCATGTCAAACTGCATTATTTCTGCAGTGCAGATACAGCTTCAGTTTGAATAATTCTGCTTTTTAAATATACCTTTCAAGAACATATTTGTGGAATATGGTTTTGGGGGTTTTTTATTTTGTTTTTTCTGTTGCTGTTATTTTAAGGCATTTTTTAAAGGGTCATAAACTTCTTTGGGTTTTCTTCATACTGAAGGAAGGCAGGGTATGAGTAACCCATATCAGGGGGGAATAAAGTTTTGTGGGAAGGACTGTATCATCAGTAACCCTGTCCATTTGGAGCTGTTCTGCATATTGGATCACAGTATTGCTGAATACAAACTGAAGGTATCTGTTTAGGTGGTTATGAAGGATATGCTTGTTTCTTTAGGGGCGGCGGGCTTGGCCTTGTCCAGGCCAGTGCGGGCTTTGGTATGTTGACTGCGCCCATCATGGAGCTCCACAACCAGAAAGGCTACTTCCTCCACCATGTGATCTTTGCCTGTTGCACCCTCATTTGCATCATCTGCATCCTCCTTTTGCCAGAGAGCAAAAACCAGAACCTGCCAGAGAACATTCCAGACGGTGAACATTACACCCGGCAGCCCCTCCTGCCGCACAAGAAGGGGGAGCAGCCCCTGCTGCTGACAAACTCCGAACTCAAAGATTACTCCGGCCTCCATGATTCAGCAGCTGCTGTGAATGACAGTGTGGCCGAGAGTGTCACCGCCAATGGGATGAAGGCGATGTAGTTGATTGGAGGAGGAGCACTTTGGTGTGGGTGGGCTTTCCGCAGAAGGTTTACAGACCAGTGAAAGAAGGGATGGATACACAGGGGAACCAGACTCTGCTGCTAAAGCCACTTCTTGTAGGAATCTTTGGTTGGCGTACAAAACCACTTTGGAAACAGTTGTTTGGAGGGCATGGGGAAGGCATCCTCAAAGCAAGCAGACTGGAGAGAAAGGCCCATCAGAACATTTCTTTCCTCCCTGCCATTCAAATATTTCTATTTATTTTTATGGTTTTGTTTTTGTTTCCATGAAGCACTTTACTGTCTTTTTTCCCTCTTCTTGGCTATAAACATGAAGCCATGTTGTTCTCCAGAAGAGTAGCCATTCCAAGAAACAAGTTGTGGGGTTTGTTCTGTTTGTTTTTCTGTTTTGCTTGGGTGTTGTTATTGTTTTTTATAATCATCTCTTGTGGTTTTTTGTTGGCAAAATGAGGTGTCTCTTGCTGCGACAATGAATTCATTGACTACTGATGTTTTCAGTTCAACAGATTTTCTCAGCCTCTCCAGAATTATCCAGTAATTCCCTCTCTCCCATGCTCCTCCTAACTTGGTTTACCTAGTGTGCATACAAAAATTGCAACTTAAAATTCCAAAATTAAAATTGTAGATAGCAGAAGTAGCATTTAGCTAGCAAGCCCTGGTATATTTTTAAAAAGATGTTTTCCAAAATGTTGAAGTAATGGAGTCCATTTGCAAGTCAGAGCCGAAAACAAACTATTGCACAAGCAAAGTCTTCCCCGTCCGCCCCAAAGGAAACCAGGCATATGGACTGAAATGGGAAATGTGGCTCTCTATAGAGATGTCTTGTATGTGTTCATTCACAATGATAAGCAATGTCTGGGGGGAAAAGAGTGCATTGCTCACTAAATTCAATGCTTTAACCTAACAGGAAGTATCAGAAT